ATTTACACTAGGGGGGGCTGTAGACATGTGTCGTCAGCCCCCCTTCGGTTTTTCCGGTATTGCTCGAATACTGGTGTCGTACAAATTCTAAAAACCGTCAAACAAATTCATACAAATGACATACAAATTATTTAGATAGATATTTTTGAGAATTTCTTTGGTTGGGGGGTTGGAGACACGTACGTACAATAACATTGAACTGCAGCTATTTATATATTATATGTCATGCCAGTTACTGGTCAGTTATTGTTCCTTTGATTTTAAAACAACATTTTGAAAACGATTTTCTAAGTAAATAATTCTTTAATACACTGAAATATTAATACATACAAATAAATAAAATATTAAATATAGGTAATCAATGATACTATATTCTGTACTCATTAGTTTCATACTACTGATAATGACATCTTTTGTTGTTTAATTAATTAATATAATTAATAGAAAATTGTAAATTAGTGATTTATTTATGTTTGATGTACTATGTGGTATGCGTAAAATATCTATGGTAATTTTATGCGTGGGTCTTAGTTTATTTTAAAATATTAGATGAAAATTAGTGATATTTATATTTTAAGTCCTAATATTTTGTATGAAGGGGGATTCAAACTTCTTTCGAAATGTTTTCAAACAATTTTATTTTTTGACATTATTTTCTATTCACTACTACTTGAATATATTGACGTTGTAGCTTTCCACACAATACATTTTAATATTTTATTTATACAATCCACGTATACAGTTTATATATTTATAATATACTTTTGTGTAACATATAATGTACAACGAAGATTAACTTTACAAAATGTTTAAATTATTTTTTTGTTGATTAAGTAATATTTACAATATTTCAATGATTATTTTATATGTATGCTATAAATTTTTAATTTTCCGGGAAATTAGAATTTTAAATAAAATTGTTTACACTTTTATTTATTAATTACCTATTTATAATCCTTGCCGTCAGTGGCGTCATTTGCAAATGCATCCCATGAATATTTTTAAACACACTTTTTGTGTAGATTATTTTATAAAATTATAAAACAAATAACAATAGTTTTGTAATTTTTTTTTGATTTGTCACAATATTTTGTGGATCACCAATATAACATGATATCTACACCGTGTAGATAACGATAAAACGTCGATAACCGTTACTATTTTACTAACTTACAGCGGGGCCTCAAATAGTCGGGTTCGTTAGTGACGTCTAGCGGGCGGCCGGGCCCCCACTATTTTATTACTCCATAGTCATCCGTTGTCGTGTTGTCGTTTCTTGTTTGTATCGCGATTAAATATATTAATAGATATTTTTAATCGTGGTTTGTACTGTGGTAATATTATAAAAAATATGGTATTGAACCTTTGAACATAGTTAATATACTATATATTTATATTATTACTGTCCGTGTCGTTCTTGAATCGTGACACGCGTTGAATTTTTATACTTAAACACCTGATAAAATATCTATATTCTATATATTTTATAAGATGAATAAAAAACGTGATACATCAGAAGCTTCTATCATGTCGAACTACTAAAATAATTTCCATATTTATATAATAAATATCTATAATACAAAATACCACAAGACACACTTGCTCGCCACTCATGCACATATTATAATATTTTAGATTTTGAAAGGAGTAATAATGTTAATTTTACAATGATTTTTTTACACCTTATTCTATCTGCTTGACAATGCTTATACTATGCTTTTTTGATTTTTGCTTTTCAGATTTGTAGCTAAAATAGAAAAACGATTTTCTTGTACTAATAATGATATTTTGATGGTTATGGACATTTTTAACTCCAACAGTAATCATTTTTTAAATTCAAATTCTATTTATCTTGAAAAATTTCTTAACCATTATAGGCATTTTAAAATTAATTCTATATATTTATCTTCTGAATTTTCTTCCATCCAAACACTACTCAAAGAAAAAAA